CATACTGTTTTCAAACACTACAACTATTAATAAATGAATATTTTAGTCTGATATTTTATTTGATATAAATACGTTGAAAACCATCTATAAACATTATTAGTTTGTAAACTGATTTTTCTTCATAATTTGAGATTATTTTTAAATATATATCAGGTTATGTAGAAAGCTTGACATTGATTTTTGTGTAAAAAATTTTATATGAAACTTTACCTACCATTTTTTAGTTTTTATTGTAAGTTTAATTATTTTCACAATTTGTCACAGATGTCAAATAAAAAATATATTTTTTAAATACCTTTTATTGGCAAATAAAATAAGAACTAAAATGTTTTAAATGTTTATTTTATAAGATCAGTCCCATCACAGTACATATTACACAGACACAAACTAGAATAAAGATATAGGTATAATGCCTGGCATTTTAAATGATACTCTTCGCAGTTTAACAGACACCCTTAACCCCCATTTTTAGGCAGATTGTTTTCACAATTAATAGGCCTCATCTCCTTATAGACCTTGATTTTTACTAAAAATTTCATGTTTATATCGCTTTTCATTTTTGATTTTTTTTTTATTTCAATCCCCCTTAAATCCCCCATATTTATTCAGATTTTTTTTCATAATTAAAGGGCTTCTTCTCCTTTTAGAGCTTGATTTTTGCTAAAAATTTCAAGTTGATATCATTTTTCGTTTTTCAGTTAGGATTTTGTTTTAATATTTTAACTCCTCTTAACTCCCCAATATATTCATAGTTTTTTAGTATCAATAGGCTTTATCTTTTTATAAAGCTTTAGTTTTACTTAAAATTTCGTTTTTAATTCAGGATTTTTTTTTAATTTCAACCCATATTAACCCCCTATTTCTATTCAGATTTGATAAAAATCAATAGACTTATGTCCCCTTATAGAGCTTGATGTCTACTTAACAACAACTTTTTCTTTTTTGTTGATCCACAACTTGCAAACCACTGCTTCATCGGGATCATAGTCATTCAAAAACAATGTCTTTGGAAATGTGCTGTCAATTAAGTATATTTAAAACTCTTAGTTTACGTGTAATAAGAGCCATATCTCATGATGAATACACGCGCAAGTACACGGAAAAAAATGTGACTAGAAAATTTTACTACAATGTTGTAGTAGTAGACTTGTAGAAAAATACTTAACAATTTGTAGAAAATTTTACTACAATTTATAGTTAAAAACTATTAATTATTGTAGCAATTGAATTGTCGAATAAAATGCTACAACAATAGGAAAGAAGTCCACAATGTTTAGTATATTTTACTATTGTTTGTAGAAGTAGAAATTTATTACAATTATCGTAATTACTACTACTAACTTCTGTAAAAATTTGTACAAATATTAATAATTATCTCTACAAAAAATAGAAATTTTCTCTACAAAAAATAGTAATACTCTACATACCTTCTTATAATAAACATTCAATTTTGTTGAAAAATATTCTACAATATTGTAGAAATTCTTAGTCATGTGAACAAAACAAAATTCTGCTATTGGCCAACGTTTTCTGACGTCGATCATAAACGGCCAGACAGCAGTAGCCGTTCGCCATATTCACATAACAAAGCATGGTACATATACGAGTAGGTACCTATAACACATTATTATATTATAAGTACCGATGCGTTTGAGAAAATTTTAATAATAAATTCTATTGGTGGTAAGTACATTTAATATTGTTTCTGAATAATTTACCTTTAGATAACTAATTTAAATAACCTTAGTAGATTATTTTAAAAAAATAGTTGTGGCCAACGATCGAATTTTGTGCCAAGTTCAATGATATTTTTTTGTCTTAATTGTGACATATCTACTTTCTCATTTTTGTTAGTTATCTGACTTAGTCATTTAATATCCAAATCAGTGTAAAGGTGATAAATATCTCCGTTTTAAGGGTATGAACAGTTCAATTGGTATTAATTTTTATTTCATATTTTTCAGGTGCAGAAAAGCCAACTGAGACTGAGGACGCTATTATTACTGTTATTTATTACATAATGTAATTAAGAATTTGTATCTTTTATATTAAAACAATAAATTGAATATTTTATTAAGGAACATTTTTTTCTAGGTTATAATTATAATAATTATGGAATACTACTACAAATTTTATTAAAAATTACTACAATTTGTATGAATTTTTACTATTTATTTTGTAAAATTTTCGTATTTATTTTCATAAAACGCAATACATTTTTAATATAAATTCATACAATGAATAGCAAAAATTATAACAATTTGTAGAACAATTCTTATGATGCATTTGGATCTTTTTACTAAATATTGTAGATAATAACTCTACAATACATTCTCCACAAATATTTGGAAATTTTTACTACAAATTGTCCCTGTCCCTATATGCACTATTTATTGTAGAGAAAAAATCTACAATTGTAGAAATTTGTTCTACAATTTTTTTTTCCGTGTATCTCTTGATCTTACATTGGATAGTGGGTATAGTCTATTTTTATGTATGAGAGAGTAATAAAACAGCATTTCTTATGCAAAACTTAGTACGGTCATTTTAAATATTTTTACAGAATAATCTAAATATTTCCTAAAATTGTAATAAATGTACCTGAGCTATTACAAGTTTTGGGTCTTTTATTGGTCCTTTATAAACAAAAGCTGTACAGAACAATAGAAAAAGGTTTGGACAGGCCAAAAGCCCTGTGTATTAAAGATTACATAGCCGTATCTTAAGATTATTTTCAATAAGTATATATTTGCCAATTTTGTTTTATTTTAATTCCAAAAATTTCTTACAGTAATCGAATTATAAGTAGATAAATAACTTCCCAACAAATTTCACCGAAAATGCGATTATAGCTTTTCCATTTAGTAAGGAGGTCCAAGTTGTGTATTCTTGATAGTTTACTAAATGTCGTTTAGTTGCAACTTGCAAGGTGCAGTGTGAATTCTAGTATGATCATGGAAAATTTGGAAGGGCCGCGTAAACGACAAAAAATCGGTCCTTTAACAGTTAATGAAAAAACATTAATATTTAATTGTTTTCATTTTCATTTACAAACATTTATGTAAAAGTGTTGATGACACAGTGGAATTAGTAGTACGCTTGGTATTGGGAAATCTACGATTTACAGAGTTGTTAATGAAGAGAAATGTGGCGAGTTTCAAATAGCACGTAAAGCTCCAGGAAAACCAAAATTTCAATTAGAAAATCTTTTGAAAGAAAGACTTCGAAGGAAAGTGCATGCTTTCTTCTTTAGAAAAGAATTTCCGACAGTAGACAAAGTTCTTGCCACGGTTCGAGATGATAAGGATTACCCTGAAATGAGTCGAAGCACACTATGGAAACTTTTAAAAGAAATAGGTTTTCTTTGGAAAAAGCATTCCAGAAAGTCTATTTTAATAGAAAGAAGCGATATTGTAGTATGGAGGAGAAATTACCTAAGGACTATAAAAGAAATGAGACACCAAAGAAGAAATATATTTTATTTAGATGAAACATGGATCAACGAGGGACATAAACCAAATAAATTTTGGCAAGATGAAACTGTTACAAGTCGAAGACAGGCTTTTTTAAATAATTTATTTACTGGTTTAAATCCACCATCAGAAAAGGGGCGCAGACTAATAATAGTACACATCGGTAGTTCAAACGGTTTTGTTAAAGGTGGTTTATTGACTTTTGAATCTACTCGTACCGGTGACTACCATGAGGACATGAATGCTGATGTCTTTAAAGAGTGGTTCGAACAAATTATAGATCTTCTTCCTCAGAACTGTATAATAGTAATGGATAATGCAAGTTATCACTTGAGACTTATAGAAAAAATGCCCACAACCAAGTGGTTAAAAAAAGATTTACAGAATTGGCTAAATTCAAAGAATATCATTTGTGTTCCCTTCATAAAGAGAAATTCGAAAAATATGAAATTGATGAAATTGCAAAAAATCGTGGGATGACGGTGGTTAGATCACCACCATATCATTGCGAAGTAAACCCGATTGAACTGATATGGGCACAGATAAAGGGAGAAGTTTCAAGAAAAATTAATTCTTTTAAAATGAGTGATGTTAAACAGTTATTTTTGGAGGCTGTAAATAATGTGAAGCCTGAAAACTGGGAAAAGGCAGTAAATCATACGATTAAAGAAGAAGAGAAAATGTGGAAGTTGGACAATATTACTGATGAAATGATCGAGCCACTCATTGTAAATATTGGTTGCGACAGTTCATCTTCTGATTTCGATTCTGATTTGGATTTGTAGGTAAGAAGTAGTTTTTATATTAAAATTATTATTTATGAACGTAACGTTGTTTAAAAGTCAAAGTTTAAACCCTTATACCTACATAACCCGTTTGACACAATGTTCTTAACATACCTTGTGGAAAAATAAAACATTTTAGAAAAAATTGCACTTTTTTACCTTCAGCTGTTTAGAAGTTATAAGCAGGTTAATTAGGTGAAAATATAAGTGTATACTCGAGGAATAACTTCAAAAAATATTTTAACTGTCTACTAAAAGAAGTGGTACGCCTATGGATTACGAACGCTTTATTATTTTAATACTCTCTTGTACATAAAAATAGACTATAGTAATATCCAAAAGGGCCTATATTTGCAAAAGTGGCATAACTAATTCTCCTATATTGTGGATATGTTTGGGTGAACTTTATATGAAGGTTTTTCAAAGAGTCGCTTAAAAAATCTCTTTTGTCTTTTTGCTTTGTTTTTTGTTATTGTATTTTTTTTCCTGGTAACATGCGACTGTATTCATCTCTCTCTAAGAAGTCTCGAATTGTTTTCTGCAGCCTGCTCTTTTTATGTTTTTGTTGTTTAACGGCCTATTTGGCCTACACATTTTACGTGACCAAGTGGTTAGAACATTAAGAAACCTGTATTTCTTCATTACATTTCCAGACACTGCTTTTATAATATTTCTCTTGCCTTTCAAAAACTTCAAAAAGCACTTTTTTCTAATTTTAATATTTTCCTTATTTTCTATTAACTCATTTACCTTGTATGTTGGACTGTCTGGAAGAGCGCTTCTTTTTCATTTTCTCTAATAATAATCTATTGCATCTTCTTTTATATGTTTCCATTTTCCTTTTTAAAGTTGCATTCTTTGCTTCTAACTTTTTTATTGTAGCGTGTAACCTTCGTCTGTGTTTCTTAGATTGCCTTTTCCCTTGAAGCAGTTGTCTGCTTGGAGTTTCAAGAGGAGGTTCAGGTAAATCATTAACTTGCGGGCTATAGCTAGAGGGGTGATATCAACTATATTTTCTATCATTCTAAGTCTTTGGCGGTATTTTTTGCAGCAATGTCTTCAAGTTTTTCGCTTTTCTCTTTTTTCTTTATTCGTCAGATCACTTATATTCTTTATTTTTCCTTCGTTTCTGCGTTTTTCATACCTTTCCCTCTCTCTTCTTTTTCTCATATTCTGTTTAACTTGTTCTTTCCGTGATTCATATTTATCTTTTTTCTTCTTTATGGGAGCCATATTGAACACTAAAAATAATGAAAATAACATTAGATAGAGAACTGTCAACTCCATGATCAGCATAGTCAACACAGTTATCAAACTTAGATAACGGCGTTGAGATAACGGAGCTAATGGACACAAAGGTTTATTTGAGTTTAATTTTAGACAAAACTACATAAAATAACCAAAACAGGACATCTTAAGTTTCGTGAAATAATAAAATAATATCAATTAACTAACATATTTACCTTGAAATATTGGTCACGGTAATGATAGCACAAGCCTGTTCAAGACCGGTCTTAATCATACAACGTTAAATTTTGTTCACATTCGACACTACTTCACTAGACTGTGGTCAAATTCAAACTGAACAATTGTACAAAGTGTCTAAAACAAAACGCGTTAATTTGCGCGCGTCCTGGCGGTTTCTATTGCAAATTTAGAGTTGATAACAGGATTGACGCTAGTACCCTGGGACATGAATTATTTAAAAAAAAGTAAGAGAACATTTTATAAATTTAATTGAATATCATAAAATCTAATTTTTAGACTTTGTTTAATTACTTGTCATAACTAAATTTTACATCAGCTTTTTCAAATCTAGTGAAATACTATTTTGTTTGTTTTAAGTATGAGTTGGGAAATTTTACTACAATGTTGTAGTAGTAGACTTGTAGGAAAATACTTAACTTTTTGTAGAAAATTTTACTACAATTTATAGTTAAAAACTATTCATTATTGTAGCAATTGAATTGTCGAATAAAATGCTACAACAATAGGAAAGAATTCCACAATGTTTAGTATATTTTACTATTGTTTGTAGAAGTAGAAATTTATTACAATTATGGTAATTACTACTATTAACTTCTGTAAAAATTTGTAAAATTTTATTAATTATCTCTACAAAAAATAGTAATTTTCTCTACAAAAAAGAGTAATACTTTACATCCCTTCTTATGAAAAAAAATTTAATTTTGTTCAAAAATATTCTATAATATTGTAGAAATTCTAAGTCATGTGAATAAAACAGAATTCTGCTATTGGCCAACGTTTTCTGACGTCGATCATAAATGGCCAGACAGCAGTAGCCGTTCGCCATGTTCTCAAAACCAAGCATGGTACATATACGAGTACCTATAACACATTATTATATTATAAGCATCGTTGCGTTTGAGAAAATTTTAATAACAACTTCTATTAGTGGTAAGTACATTTATTATTGTTTCTAAATAATTTACCTTTAGATAACTAATTTAAATAACCTTAGTAGATTATTTTAAAAAAAATAGTTGTGGTGAACGATCGAATGTTGTGCCCAACGATCGAATGTTGTGCCAAGTTCAATGATGTTTTTTTGTCTTAATTGTGACATGCCTACTTTCTCATTTTTGTTAGTTATCTGACTTAGTCATTTAATATCCAAATCAGTGTAAAGGTGATAAATATCCCCGTTTTAAGGGTATGAACAGTTCAATAGGTATTAATTTTTATTTCATATTTTTCAGGTGCAGAAAAGTCATCTGAGACTCAGGGCGCTATTATTACTGTTATTTATTACATAATGCAATTAAGACTTTGTATCTTTTATATTGGAACAATAAATTAAATATTTTATTAAGGAACATTTTTTCTAGGTTATAATTATAATAATTATAAAATACAACTACAAATTTTATTAAAAATTACTACAATTTGTATGAATTTTTACTATTTATTGTGTAAAATTTTCGTATTTATTTTCATAAAACGCAATACATTTTTATATAAATTCATACAATGAATAGGAAAAATTATAACAATTTGTAGAACAATTCTTATGTTGCATTTGGATATTTTCCCTAAATATTGTAGATAATAACTCTACAATACCTACATTCTCTACAAATATTTGGAAATTTTTACTACAAATTGTCCCTATCCCTATATGTACTATCTATTGTAGAGAAAAAAATGTATAATTGTAGAAATTTGTTCTACAATTTTTTCCGTGCAGATAACGGAGTATGACATTAGCCATAATTTGTTCCAAAAAAAAACAATAAAAAAATATAAAATTAATAAATTTTGCTTTTCCTTAAAAAGAAAAGTGTTTTGGCCATTTAATAAATAACTAAAAACTTATTATTTTGGAAAAATGGATTTTTTACTGTTCTAATGAATTGTACCTTTTCTGAAGAATGACCCATAAAGCAATGTGATTTTTTTTTATTTCAATGGCTTTGATAATATCTACCAAATTAGCAAGTCTCAGTTAGTGTTTTGATTCATTTACTTATGTCCTGTGATCTTTATTTTTGACACGTTAAGATTCCATGCAGCTAAAAGGTGTAGTTATTAAAAGCGTTTACCATAATAAGGTGTAATTTAAAAAACAAAATTTAGAGATAAGACTATTTTCAGCCCTTTTATAATAATATTCAACATGCTTTAATTACTTTCCGTTAATTGTAATGGTTACTATACTATTATTAAATACTCGACTTACGTTGTGAGCAGACATATGCGATAATTTAAAAAATTTAAATAACAATAATTAAGATAGCAATTAGTTTAATTTTATTCATTAACGTCGAAAATTACCTTGTTCCTTTAATTACGGCATTGATAAGCCTTCAACTTGAATTTTTTAGCATTAAAACAATTAAATTTATTTACTATTTAAGTTTTTAGATGTGTAAAATTTACAAAACGAAAATTATTACTAAAAACCTAGTTAAGCGTATCTAAACCTGAGTTACCTGTGATCATGTGTAAATTTTAGGTCCTTTTTATAGTCTAATTCAGCTTTTATTCGCATGTAATAAAATGATAATCACTAGGAACGCGAAATATGTTGTTAAAAATTAATTTCACGAATTACGCACTATGGTAATAAGTTGATAAGTAAACAAAAGGTAAATTTGATTAGCCTGTAGGTTACTATTGAATTATTTATTCATTTTAAATATAATATTTATACTCTCTTAACTTACTTATTACGTGAATAACAAATAACATTTGGTTATATCTGGTAATATGTCAATAAATATTTGCAATTTTTACGTGGCTGAAGTGCCTGTGTGTAGATTATAGTATATTATTAAACGAGCAATTTATGGTAGCCATTATTCACGCAGGGTGACGTTTGCGTCCCGAGCCGTAGATGAGGGGCGCAAGTCACCCGAGTGAATAATGGCCATAAATTGCGAGTCTAATACTATACTTTGTCCACGACCATTATGGTTTTTTTATTAAATAAAAGTTAAGTGTGAATGGAAAGTTTTTATTAAACATAGGTAACTAACTGTTGTTTTTTCGATTTTTTTCGATTTTTCAATTTTTTTCGATTTTTCGATTTTTCGATTTTTCGATTTTTCGATTTTTCGATTTTTCGATTTTTCGATTTTTCGATTTTTCGATTTTTCGATTTTTTGATTTTTCGATTTTTCGATTTTTCGATTTTTCGATTTTTCGATTTTTCGATCTAGAAAATATCGTTATGAAAAGTATCGTCTATCTTTAGTTATCTATCGGAATGTGCCAGAATTACAAAAGCGTGAATTATCATAATTCACTCCGTGATAAATGGGTACTATATGCTCTTAATTAGGAGGTAGAATATTGATTTATTATTAAGTGGTCGTGGACAAAATAATTTATACAATTTCCGAACTGAACTAAACTAAGAACTATCAAAATTAAATGATTTTAAAACAATAATACAAAGTTTTTATTACTCAAGTAAAACTTTTTTTTTACTGAATGAAATAATTTCTAGATTTTCGTAATTTATTTCTTTTTAATTTCCAATTAACATGCGCAATTCTAGTCGTTCTGTTTCTTAAACAAATATTTTTAGGACCTTTTTAAATTTAGAAATTGGTACTTCATTTTTCAGTGTTTCAGGCAAATAATTAAACATTTATGGTGCCACTCACTCTGAACAGACCACGATTACTCAGAGTTAGTACTAGAATGTCACGAAGTATCCATCAACAATGTGGTCACCTTAAGATGGATCAAAGGTCACGCCACATCGAAAGGTAACCATCTTGCTGATTCACTAGCCAAGAAAGCAGCCAACCAAATATTTTTTGGACCTGGCCCTTCTATTGGCCTGACAAAATCGGAAGTGACAGACCTAATCAAAGAGAATTCCCTTGTATAATTCAAGGAAAGATGGGATGAACCAAGAAACTGCAGAGTTGCCAGGGAACTCTTAAGTTATCCTGACAACACTGCAGCAAACAAATACTTGACTATGACTAGACAGAATCTGCGCCTAGTTACAGGCATTCTGACTGGTCCGAAAGCATCTCCACTTCATGGGGTTGTCAGAATCCGCACTCTGCAGAGGGTGCGAACAAGAAGATGAGACCATCGAGCATATCCTTCACGATTGCTCGACGCTCTCATTTATTAAAAGATTTGTGTTCGGCGAGTATGGGCTAACACCAGCCGATATAAGAGAGGCACCTCTTGGCGACGTTGTCAACTAAATTAAATCTGTAGGCTAGCTCACGAACTAGGAGGTGCCTATCATCTCAGAAGGATGCACAATGGGCCTAATGAGGCCTAAGTGCCGTAGGGGGTAACCCACCCTCCACACGTTACAGATACAGAGATGGTGCGATAAATTATTGAAATTTAATTTATATTTTTATGTTATTTATGTAATTTTAAAATAATGTGTTTTTATGAAATTTAACTGGGTATTCACTGCACAAATGAACCAATGGAGAAACCGCCCCTGTTCATTATATTGTTTAGTTGTTGCCACTTTACAGTTCAGATTAATATGAACTGATTTATGGAGCATAACTGAAAAACAGGAACTAATGCTTTCATGTCAAAATAAAGTATTATAGTCAATAAAAGGAATTTCGAACTGTGATATCTTCAAGCCCTTATTTAAAACCTTTAATGTTAAGAGTTTTCTTTACAAATTATTACATATACCGAACATAAGTTTGTTGATATAAACATTATTTTCATAATACAAATAAATACATATCTGTTAAGGAATGGTCATATTTTAT